TGTCATCCGAGGGGAACCTCTTACTGCTGTTATACTGTTGTCCAGCCACCAGTTTGGGATGCTAGCTATCACTCAGCACCTACGTTGTTGACCTCACAGTCATTGCATGGAATTTGGCAGAACAAATCATTTTGTTCGATCGCCTTAGTCAGATCCTTAAACCGACAAAACTTCTCTCTGAGTGAATTTGTAGGTTTGACTGACACGCTAATCCCAGTCCTGTCTATAATTCTGCATACAGATACTGATGTTCCTTTCTTCTATGGCAGCACAATTGAGGTCTCGAGCTCCTTTCTACCCATATTGTCATTATTTCTCTTATTCATATTACTGTTATTACCTCCTTTCTGATATGTGCTTACAAATTTCGGAATAAAATCTGAAGGATAATTATGGATTTGTAGTGATTCCTCATTATGCTTCAATTCCTCACTTAAATCCTTGTTTTGACCAGTGAGTTTTCTAACTCAGTCATTTCAACATCTAACTAAAGCCGCCCACCCAAACGGATATTAGATGAGATGACATGAAGTCTAGAATGACTGTTGGGATCTGTTGGTTTCCTGTAGACAATGGTGTCTAAACCACCGTGTGCACCTCGTTTTACTTTGCAATCCAGTCTAGCTAACTCTCCTTGTTGACTTTCTATGATAAGTGAACTGGATTGCACCTACTACTGAGTTTATATGTGAATAGAGTGTCGATATGTTCCAATTTCAAGAGAGTAAGTTATTGTCAGTCACTTATCACCACCATATTTTAGGAGTAGGGTTGAAAGCTCGTAAATCTGTGTACTCCCCAGCTATCCTTAATTATGTCTTCTACTATGATTAGGGACATTGGTGATTTTACTACTCTTCATTTTGTTCTATCCTGAAAATTGAGGCTTGTGAAGGTCAGACAGACACATGTGTACGTACACCACATGGTTTCATCACCTGATACCTTAGATCTATGATTAAGTTTCAGGTGAATGTTTAGTTGATTTCTAACTCCTTCCAGTGCCATATTGATTAGTATTTTTAGTATAAGGGTTTGTGAAATCTAGTTTAGTCATTTTTTCACTCCCTTGTAAATGTAGGTGTCAATGGGTCTTCGTCTGAGTTCATGGGATGTGAGTACTACTCTAGAATTTGAACGGTTTCTCAATTCAGTTATCAGTGTAATGGAATAATCTGGTTTACGAAAGCTGATAGTACCATAAATTGATCTAGGATAATCAATTTTAGGTGTTACGTTAAACTATTTGGACTCACATAGAGATGACATTAGTTGGCGTGTCAGATCGGTAGTATATTTCTTAATTTTGTTCATGGTCATGTTTTTCTTTCCAGTAAATAAATGTAGTGGAATGATATATGCTAAGCTGTCAGTTAAGCCGGCCAGACTTCATTGGTTGGTGATGATAACAAAGTAGATTACGCAACATATGAAATGGTTCATAGAAAGTGTATAATTCAGAAATTGTTTATCAAATTCTCCCACACCTCCCACTTTTTCTTCATTTTCAACCCCTTAAAACAGTGGAGACCTTAGTTATTCATGAACTGAAGCCTGATTTGTGTGAACAAAATAACTATGTACATTCACGGTTTTTATCATGGCCATAACATTTTCCCACCACCCCCCCCCCCTATTAGTTTTCCCTCCTCCTTTGTTGATTTAACCTTTGTATCCTTCCTTTATCACTATTATTATCATTAAAATTGCCTTCACTTTGATTGGTTTCCGGTGTTATTTCACTTAATTGTCTTAATCTTTTTGGGAAACATTTGTTTCATCTTGACGAAGTTTTCTAATCCTATTCCATCATGCCTAATTGGTTTAGCACTTTCATCATCGAACCACGAAGTACCGGGTTTGCGGCTCGATGCTCTACCAACTGAACTACGAGGTTCGATTGCTGATCAGATTTCTATTTCACTTCAATCACGGTGGGTTTTGCCCGATGGGTTACTACCGCTTGATCGTATTCACACTGGCTACCTAATCAAGACTTCTCATCCCAGTCCAAATCTAACTGAATGAGAGAGGGGGGAGCATCATATTGATTATCATTTTGACCATCTGAGATAGTCATATTTTCATTTCACCTTCAATCATCATCTTAGATAGTTAAAATGATAATCATTTTATTGTTATTGTTATGATCACATAGTGCCTAGTTTTTTTCACGGGATATAGATTTTCAAATGTTATATATATATATATATATATATAATATATATATATAATATATATATATATATATATATATTGTCATATGATAAAACTTTGTTGGTAATAGCAGATATTCTTTGAATTTTAGAATGTATATTCCACCAAATGTTCATCAAGCCCATCTTTCATGGTTGCCCTGTGTGTATGGGTCCAAACCTCCAGCAAATGCAGTTCAAGCAGCTCCTGGAATTTGTATAGTCCGAGGTAGGAGAGGTGAAGATTTGATACCTGGAAAAATGCCTCTCAGAATTGGTGCAGGTTTTATACCCTACGATGGCGAAGAGTTTTCACTTACTGAATTCGAAGTTTTGTGTAATACAAATGTTTATGCTCATCAAGCTTTGTAAGTACGAAGAAACGATGCATGTTTAACCGTGTTTTGCTGTAAAGCGTATTACTTAGGCCTTAACTAATTGCGGACAGTTTTGTCAGTCATCACATGAAACCTTAAATCCGACATGTTTCATTTTGAAGATGTATATATACAAGGCTGCCAAAATTTTGATTTGTCTGATTATCCGTCAAGGCAAGAGTCAGTGATGCACTACTCAGGTTACTGTCAGCAGGTCTAAGATCTATCTACATCAGGTCTTTATAAGAAACCGACTGACATTAGGTGGTTGTAGGTAACCGGTAGGAGTTCCTGGACTTGTGTTTAGTACTTTTTAGCAGTCGTTAACAGGACATATCTACAAACTTGAAGGGACTGATTCCTCATTTAAACTTGTTTCTGATTCCTAACCTTACTTTGATGAACAGCAGTGTATGCATGTGAGATAACTCGAAAATCGGACTATGCAAATCACGTTAAGACGTTTAGCTGTTGAAAATGTAGGGTGCCGGGAGACAGCAAAATGAAGATATTCACTGGTTACTAAAATAAAATCTTTAGCTAGTGGATTCCTTAGTGATAAATCCACTACGGGAAGCTGCTAAGGTTCATTATCCCATTGTATGAATATAAGCATGTTCTGATGATCAAAGTATTGCCAAATATCAAATGCTTTGGTTTAGAAATGGTCTTCTACCACGACTCAGCTACAAGCTCTGGAGTACTAGGTTGATGTTAAGGATGTTAGTCCGTGACGAATACTACATTGAAATCAGTCGATCTATCCCCACAACGTACATTGAAGACTTGAAAATGCACATTGATAACTTTTAAAAGCGTTACACGTGTGTTGTAGTTTATGTTTGTTACTCCTCCGACGTAATCAATCCCATTTGTGTTGTTAAGCAGATTTCTTCTTCTTGAGGTTTGAAAGGAAACTAACTGTATGAAAAGGATCTTGATTATGTTTTATTGCAAGAGAATTGAATTTAGTAGTCGAAATCCAATGACCACTGACATCCTCTTCCATTTGAAATCAAAATTGTTCCAATATTAACCAACGTTGGTTGGATTATCACATTACCATCCTGTTGTTTTACCCATTTCCTCGCTGCTTAAAGATGTATAAAGTTGGTCAGCCTTGAGATTAGAACACAAATTTTGTGTACTTTCTGACGTGACTAGTTATTACGCTTGTAATAAATAGTAAGGGTAGAATTCATTTATGTCGGTTACTGAAGTGCAGTAGATGTCATGTTATCTAGATATCTGTTTTGACAGAATTCTACTGACAGCATTTGCATTGTAATCAATGAGCTGGAGATACTTCAACGAGGTGTACTTTGTTCTGTGTTAAACGGTGAACTTAATTGGTTGGAATTCCTAGATATAGATTTTGTACTGTTTGATATATTAGATCATTGTACGCCGTTCATGTTGTATGGGAAGCCTCAATGACATCATCTGTGATTGTAGTGATGGGTTATGTGTGTTTTAATCTTTGAGTTCGCTTTATTTCTATCTAAATTTGATTTTTCGTCATCCTTCATTTTTCACATAATGAATGAAATACTTGTTCAATTCAGAAAATATACATTTCTTCAGAAATGTCATACGATTCTTATTTTTTTAAATGAATTTGAATAAAGCAAGGCGGGAAATAGTAGGAGAATTAGCATGTATGTGTATTTCTTGCATTCTCCTCAACTGCCTTGCAAACCATAGAATGTAATTTTGCTTATTGATGCTTTTAATTTCCCGTTGCTATGCTTGGTTTGGTTGCTTGACCTCTGTAGGCAGATGGATTCCTATGCGGATGTCCTGATACCGCTAGGATATTCACTGCATTGCAGTCTACTTGATGGCCAGTAGTTGAATTGAAGATGCGTGTTTCATCCCGTTTCGGACTCCTCAACTGGATGTGCCGGGACTCCAATGAGTGATGATGTTACCACTGAGACTCGAATACAGTACCCACCGCTTCAAGAGCCAAAGCGTTAACGACTAGGCTATTAAGGGGAGGGGGGAGGGAGCAGAGAATTACCACCTTTTCATTTACCGGGTAGCTGAGCAACCATCAACGGTAGAATCTGAAGGTGATTGTTCGAGTGTCCACCAGGATATGTCAGAATTATTTCCACTGAAGTTCCTCTCGCTTTGTGTGTTCATGATTATTGTCTTTTCTCTTTATACTGGTTGATGGTGATTGAAGGTCAAGTGAAAATGAAGACCGCGGTGGGATTCAAACCAGCGACCTGCGGGTTGTCAGGCCCGGTATTTCACTTAAATGAGCTATGAGACGCTGTTGTAGACCAGATGTTGATTTCATTTCGATCACCAAGGTTTTGTGTCATGGAGTATATTTTACTTATATTTCCTCATGTTACTACTTATCGTTTACCATATTTAAGACAGACACTTTTTCCTACTTATCGTGTAATTGTATTAGGTACAATTGGATTCCAGCACGTGATGGTCAAGTACCAGCTGGTGCATTACTTGCTGGGATGACCAGTCATGGTGAATCTTTGTATGTAGCTCGTGCTACAATAAACGATGAAGTGTGTGTTGGCAAAGTGAATCGCTCATATAAGTGTGCACTTTTCCCATGGGGCGACGAAGAGCATAAACTGAGGGAATATGACGTTCTTTGTGTTTTAGAATAATTTTTTCTTTAGGATGAATATGATTGTTTTTGAAATTTTTTAACGAACATGAAAGTTGTTAATTTGCAGAGTTAATACAATGCATATTTTGTATTCTTAACAATTAAAATGTTGGATGTAACTTCTTACTAGTTCTGCTGTTGCGAGAATTTAGTTTTAGTTTGACGACTGATGATAAGTTATCTTTAAGTTAGTAGTCATCATGGTCCGGCATCAATTTGAGAACCACTGAAAACTCTGGAGCGCTGGACAGCTGTTTTTTTTTAAATAGTGTCTGACTTCCAAGCAGTACGCACACATGACCTTAGCAGGGATTCAGATAGATATCCTGACTTTCTAATGAAAGGTCGTGACCTGTGGAGAGAATCAGTCTGAAGTGAAGTGAATGCCCACAGACGATCTTGGTGGATAGTTGCGCTATATCACGAATTGACAGAAATTGGAAACTGTGGACTATTGAATTTAGACCTGCTGTTCGAATGGTTTATTCGTTCGCCGTTCAATATGAAGGTCGTGAGTCCTATCTGTGGTGTGTTAAGGTCATGGGTCCAGACTGGTGTGGAGTCACTTACTAGGACGAAACAGCTATCCAGTCCTTCCAGGTTTACAATGGTCAGGTAGAAGGTCTTAGATAGATTAGATTGTCAACTTTCGTTGGTTGAGGTATCTGGAACATATATTACACATTGTAACCCACCGTGCCTATTGAGTGGTGTTGAGTTCAGTGGGAATAACACTCACTGGGATATAGGTATATTCAACTTACGAGTCTCGAACAGGATGAACTGCATACCCGAACTCCACTACCAGCCATTATCCATCATTATCAAACTGAAATTATCGGTAATATCAAGGCATCCGCACAGAAGCAAATGTGTCAGTAGTAGGTAATCAGTTTGTTCTAATCAGCGATGGGAAGCTGCAAATGACAGCATTTCAGTGTATTCATTGCCTTAGTTGAACGATATTCTACTTAAATTCTACAAGGACCTTTTATGGTGTTAGACACAAGTTTTGCTTTTTTTAGGTCTCAGTTTAAGGATTTGCGATTGGAGCGTTTATGGTAACAAACTTTAAAATTTTGAATGCAATGTAACTTTTTTGATTTATACGTCTCATTATTCAAGTGTTTATGACCTAGTATCTAAGGTGTACCTGTGTCTACTTTTTTGATTGTTGTTTTCTAAGTAAAACTCGAAATCTTGAAGACAAGACTTGTTTTCTCATTGTCTTATTTTGTATCTGTAAATGTATTTTATGCTTCGAGTTGGTAATATTTCATGCCGTAAACTAGAATTAAAATTCGTATTTTAGTCTCAATTCTTAAGCTACTTCTTTCTTTATTTAAAAAAGTTGTTTCAAAGCTTTTCAGTTTATTGTTTTTTTGTTCAATGAAGGGAAGCACATTTCATCAATCATTTTGAAGCGAATATTAAGTCGTATTCAATTGTTATTAAATTCATCCTTTTTATTGTACGTTTGATTTCTCTTTATTTAGTGGAGCTATACCTTAATTTGGATGAATCAATTTTTAAATTTGGTCTTCATCGTGTACTGACTGACATCAGTTGGAGGAACATTGGAAACCTGGGAGCGCTGGATAGCTGTTTCGTCCTATTATGGGACTCCCAAGCAGTGCGCACCCACGACCCTGCCAGAGATCGAACCCGCGACCTTCAGGTTCCGTGGACAGCACTCTGTCATTGACCCACTGGGTCGGAATTCAATGGTCCATATTTCCAACTTCTGTCAGTTCACATCATAGCGTGATCTTCACCTAGTGTCATTGTTGAGTATTTGTCCTGACGGCCACCAGGTTTTCCCCACTGGTCACAACTTCTCACTGGAACTTCAGGAATCTGATGTCAGTCCACGATGAATACCAACTTGGAAAAAAAATCTCTAAATCCCACAAAGCCATCAGAATCAATTTATACCGATAAAAACAATTGGTTCCAGTCCACTATCCACTGGTCGAGGTTTATGCCACTAGGCAGTAGCAGTTACCTTCATATAGTGAAGAAGAGGAAGTTGGGCACTCTGATAAAGTGTAATTCCGTATTAAGTTATTTATTAGATGTGGCACAGAGTGATACAATATTATTGATTGGATAACGTTCCAGTTTCGTGTGTTGTGCTATGCTGAATGATCTTGACTGTCTAATTCCACTTGTGCACTTGACCGCGTAAGCAATACATAGTATTTGATAGATTAGGATATAATACGCACGTTTAACTGACAGCTAATGCCGTACTCAAGAGCCACCGACTACAACCCGGGATGATAGAGAGAAGACCGAAGATTGATGATGGGAGAGTTTATTACTCCGAGAATATAATAATCAACCAGTCCAAAAATGAATGTGAATATGTATGCACGTGGAATATGACCTTGGCCGCAATTTGAAACATTGGTATCGTAAGAGTAAAGATTAACCAATCAGCAAAGTACATTACAATGGGTGCAGAAAATAAACTACCAGTCATACAGTAAAAATGGTGTGAGAATGCCAAGTTAAAGATGTTCAGTTCAATAACGATGTTTTATGCATAACCAGGGCCTCACAATACATTCGTGTGGTAAGCAGTGAACCGCATCTGTTGTGTGAGGGCTAGTGATACTACGTGTTTACCCACAACAGTCGGTGGAGCTGGGTTAAAACCATTCACCTGTCACTTGGAAGGCAAACCACTCATATTACTTCTTCCTATTATCACTATAAGGCTTTTGAAAAACTATATGAAGTAGTTGTTGAGTAAATCTCGCCAAATACGAGGACTATTATTCGTAGATCCTACCTCTATATCCGAGGTCATAACTCGACATTCTCAAGTTAGTTTTATACGGTCACCTAGTCAACACTACCTTAACCACTGACCGAAATACGAAACAGACCAACAAACGACAGTTGAGGGATATCATGGTATTTCCAGTAGCCCTAGAAGCATATCCATCCAATCAATCAAATCCCCTTAAAACTTCAAACTGAATCGTGATCGGATACTTTGAAATACACTTTCTCAGATGTCATAAGCTGTATGATCAGTTAAAAAGAATGTCAGAAGGAACACTCACTTGATACTTTGTTATAGCACAAATTGATAAAAGTCAGGGGTCATTAGATTCGATACTTCGTTGTATTGTGTTCTCTGAGCTGAGTTGTTTGATCGTGAAGCTTTCATCGTCTTTCGAGACATCATCAGCACTAACTTCAGTACGAAGTGAGTTGTCAATATCTCCGAGAGTGATTCAGTAGCCTGCTCTGGCGAACTGGCTTGTGATTGGTTGTTTCCTTTGATTGTTGTGTCATTGACTGTAAAGAGTTTCCTGTTGGCTGTTCCTCTGCTCGACTTCCCACCTTTCTGTCCTTTATCATTCTTCTTATTGGTTGACAGACTAGGTCTATGTCTATACATCTGTTGATTGCTGACTGACCCGGATGCCAAGCTTCTCGGAATTCTCTGATATTCTTCGTGTTTCCTCTATCCAAAATATATACATTGTCGGGAAACAATTTATGTCCATAGTTCTCAGCCACGTGTCTTGAAATATCATGACCTTTCATAACCAATCGCTATTCATACACACGAAGGTGAAGAGGGTGACCACTTTCTCCAAACAATTTTGACAACAATATATACAGTTGATTTTCTAGATGATAATCCACATTCCCTTAATTAACTACAAGGCCGGTGTTATTTGTGGTTGTGTGGTTGTTTTGTTTCCATTAGTCTAGGTGATAGTGAGGTTGGATTGAGTGTGTGTGTGACTGTTGAGTGATGGGGTGTATATTTTGAGAGTGTGTGTGTGAATGGAGGGTGTGAGATGAGATGAGATGAGATGAGAGGAGATGAGTGGGAAAAGCCGGCAACACCCGGTATTCCCAGCCGGTCACCCATGCAAGTACTAACCGGGCCCAACGCTGCTTAACTTCGGTGATCGGACGAGAACCGGTGTTTTCAACGTGGTATGGTCGCCGACAACTCCACTCACATTCACCTCGCACATCAACACTAACACATTCAAACACTCCATCTATCACTCACTATCAAATACACACATTCACATCCACATCCACGCACACACAGGCACGCTTCCACGCACCCCAACCACCACAAACAAACACACACACACACACACACAAAAACACCAAGACACCAACACAGGGCACCCAACTCCACCACTCGAACAACACAACACATTAGTCAATTTGAGGCACTTGTTGCGTCGTTTCATGTCACATGCCGTAATGTTGATTACAGTTGAATGCAGTGCAGTGCATTGCAGTGAAGGGGTGTGGTGTGGTGTGGTGTGCAGTGACGATTGTATGTGTGCGTGTGTGAGTGTGTTTTTCTGTGTGTATATGTATGTGTATGTGTATGTGTAGGTGTATGTATGTGTGTGTATGTGGTGAGGGATATGGAGAGAGAGAGAGAGAGAGGGAGGGAGGAGAGGGAGGGAGAGTGAGAGAAAGAGAGAGAGGGAGTGAAGTTGTGTGTTGTGGAGTTGTGTAGGCGTTGTGCTCGGTTTTCCAGCTGCTGGAGAATGTCAGTGTCAGGCTGAGTGTGATCGATCGAGGCGAATGGTTTGAAATGTGGTGTGTGCGTGTGAGTAGTAAGTTTGGTAAATGAATGTTGGTATGTTAGGCAGGTGTTGGGTGTAGAGAGTTGAAGTGTGTGTGTGTGTGTGTGTGTGTGTGTGTGTGAGTGAGATAGACAGGGTGGTTTGGTGAGTGTGTGTTGGGTTTCCTGGCTGCCTGGCTGGTGTTATTTGTGGTTGTGTGGTTGTTTTGTTTCCATTAGTCTAGGTGATAGTGAGGTTGGATTGAGTGTGTGTGTGACTGTTGAGTGATGGGGTGTATATTTTGAGAGTGTGTGTGTGAATGAGATGAGATGAGATGAGATGAGATGAGATGAGAGGAGATGAGTGGGAAAAGCCGGCAACACCCGGTATTCCCAGCCGGTCACCCATGCAAGTACTAACCGGGCCCAACGCTGCT